AGCGATGAAGCTACAAAAGCAAACGTACTTGATAAGGATAGAAAGACGCAAATTCTTGGAATGCGTTGGGATGCGAAGTCCGACAGATTGGTATTTGCGAAACAAAATGAAGATCATATAGAGAAGTTTTGCGAAAATCGTCGTCAATTTACGACCCACTCGGAATTCTTGAAACAGTGACTGAAAGAGCTAAGTTACTTATACAAACATTTGGAAAGAGGGATACGATTGGGACCAAAGCTAGAATTGATGGCCGCAGTGATAGGAGCTCGAATGGCTTAACAACTCACGAAAACCCTAGACCCACAACGCACAGTATTATGGAGTGACAGTCAGATCGTACTGCATTGGATATCATCTTCAAAAACATTTGGAAGATTTGTTCAAAATCGTGTGCTAGAGATTAAAGAAACGACACAAAATTATGACTGGAAATACGTACCAACTGAACCAAATTCAGCCGATAACTCGAAGAATATCATCAACCTGTCAACGCTATTCAAAGATTTAATTCTGTGGATGAAAGGACCGTCATGGATATCGAATTAGAAGAGTTGGCCTACATGGACCCCGCAAGAGAAAAAAGAGACTGGTTTGTTGACGACAACAGATGACAGCGAAAAAATGAAACCGTTTGAATTGGATTTGAAAATAATCGATTTATCAAGATTCTTGTTATTGACGAAGTTACTACTCATTGAAATTTGTGAATCAATGTAAAAGTAAGCGACCGTATAATCTGAGGAAAAATTCTAGACACGAAAAATATATTACGAAATATAAAATCGAGTGCGCAACTCGTACGTGGATTAAGACATTCAGAATGAAAAATTCAGTAGTGAAAAGGAGCAACTCGCAAACCATTCACAGAACAAGAATCTACCTTTAGTAAGACAATTGCGCTTGTTCATAGACACAGAAGGTGTCATTCGATGTGCCGGGCGCATACACAATTCACCGCTAGACGACTCTGCGAAATTTCCAGTGTTGTTACAGAAGAAAAATGAATTTACGGACTTAATATTAACGCACCTCTGCAGATGTTACATTCAGGAGCTGGACAGACAATTACGCAAATCCGCCAGGCATATTGGATACCGTCTATAAGAACCACATCGTACAGAAATGTGTAACGTGCCGAAAAAAGACCGGAAAAGCGTTTACACAGCAAATTCCACCTCCGCTACCGAAGGATAGAGTCACCGACATGATTCCGTTTACTACAACTGGTGTTGATTTCGCTGGACCACTCTTCGTTAAGGAGAATTGACTTATGACGAAAACGAATACTTTCCTATTCCCATGTGCGTGTATTCGTGCCGTACATCTATGACCATCGAGTAATTCAAATTAGAGTTTAGACGATTCGTTAGTAGAAGAGGAATTCATAGTACTATGTATTCCGACAACGCGCCAACCTTCGTTTCTGCTTCACATGACATTCCGAAGGAAACGAACATTCAAATTAATTGGAAATTTATTCCGAAACAGCACCAGCTACAATGGTTGGTGGGAGAGACTAGTTGAATTACGAAAACAAATTAGAAAAAAAATCGGAAAATTACAATCAATTATGACGTATAACGAACAATTTTTATAGAAATCGAACCTGTAATCAACGATCGTCCGATTACGTATTTGTCGTCCGACATCCGCGATCCAAAGCCGCTAACGCCGTCACATCTTATTATATGAAATTGAAAATGAGATTAACGTGAGGTGATGAATACTGACCGACAAGGTTTCAACATCGCTTATCTCAAAATATACCAACTCTGAAGAACCTAGGTCACAGTTGGAATACTACTTAAAATTTCTTGTAACTGCAGTGTCATGGTGATGCTTACTACTTGCCTTCTTTTACTTTCTTTGGAGTTAATACAACAACTATCAGGAGGTTTTTGCACATTTGGATCCTTTTCAGAGCGAACACAGCTAAGCTAAGTCTTAGTTTATTATGATGAGGCTGACTTCATACAGGAACTTCTTAGGAAGAAAGATAAGACGTTAGCAATATCCTTTAACTTTACGTTCCGCTATATAGATAATGTTCTCTCACTAAATAATACAAAATTTGGTGACTATGTTGAACGAATCTATCCCATCGAACTAGAGATAAAGGATACAAAAGATACAGTTAAGTCTGCCTCATATCTTGACTTACATCTAGAAATTGACAATGAGGGTTGGTTGAAAACAAAACTTTACGACAAAAGAGATGATTTCAGCTTCCCAATTGTGAACTTTTCATTTCTATGTAGCAACATTCCAGCAGCGCCTACATACGGAGTGTATATCTTCAAATTGATACGATATTCCAGGGCTTGTATTTCCTATCATGATTTCCTTGATAGATGAATGCTGCTCACAAGGAAGCTTTTAAACCAAGAGTTCCAAATGATGAAGTTGAAATCATCCCTTCGTAAATTTTACGGACGCCATCACGAGTTGGTTGACCGTTATGGAATAACCGTTTCACAGATGATATCGGATATGTTCCTTATGTCGTAACTACAATACCCTTCCCTTTTCACGAATGTGACCTACCGAATTAGACTATTTACCGGATTTGTAATAACATAAGCAACACAACGGGTGCCACATGTGGAGCAGGATCTGCTTACCCTTCCAGAGCACCTGAGATCACCCCCAGTTTTTGATGGGGTTTGTGTTGCTTAGTCTTTAGTTTTCTATGTTGTGTCATCTGTACTATTATTTGTCTGTTTGTCTTTTTATTTTTGGCCATGGCGTTGTCAGTTTGTTTTCGATCTATGAGTTTGACTGTCCCTCTGGTAACTTTCGTCCCTCTTTTAGTCGTTCGTGCTGGTGAACATTAAAATAACGTGTTGGAAGGGTTAGTCTCACATAACATCCATAACATTTAAGTAAATATTGCATCTGCTGACAGTAAATGACAACATCAAGTTCACATTCATACTTTTATTTATGTGCATAAATCATATTAAATAGAAAATGAAATAAACAAAAAATGTTTTTGAACTCACATCTCCATTGTGTACATAATTTCATATCATATTTTCTTTTAAAAAAAACTCTACAAAAGAGTGTCAAAAATCATGCAATTAAAATGACAAAATTATATCAAAACTTAAAAAAGAAAAAAACTCAAATGTCAGTCTTTGATATTATTGTAAACGTTAATTTATGTGCTGATATAATTGTGTGAACGTAACGTCGTCCCCGGCAAATTTGACAGTTTCCGCTTTTGAGTTCATTCAAATGACATATATTGTTTTACGCTTTTTTCCCCTACATTTCAATAGTAACTGCTATTTACCTGTTTTGTAGCACTTAATCAATGTCAACTCGGATTAAATCCTGCTTACTTCCAAAATATACAATATTTGTGTACGTATTTATAGTGATAGACATGATTAACCTTAAATTTTAGCAACCTATTTCTTTAACGCAACGTTATTGTGTAATTTAGCGTATAAAAAGGGGATTTCCCACGGTAAACATGTTCATGATTTGGAACTGATCATTAGAGAATATAGTTAAATACATTCGACATACAGACACATATACAAAAACCCGTTGATCCATATTTATTGTACATTTTATTGTTGTATTGATAATATAATTTCTATTTCCTGAAGATAATTTAGTTATTATTTTGTGAGAAAAAACTGGCAAAAGTATTTTGTATCGATTGAATATCTAAAAACTATAGTTGAAATAAAGATTGAGAACAATCTTTACAAATATGAATTGTAGTAAATGCATAAATAGCTAATGCTGGTGAAATATATCACTAGGAAATATGTGAACAGTCTGTAGTGAATACTAATAACATATCAAATAGCCCATACATACAACAATACTTTCAATACCAATACAGATCCTTGCAAAATTACTTTGTCAAAGGAAAAAAATGAACAACTTCAAATCTTGAAATAACTAATGGATGAAAAGGATAAAAAAAACCTATATTTACAACATATAAAGTAAAATCACAAAAATACTGAACTCCGAGGAAAATTCAAAAAGGAAAGTCCCTAATCAAATGGCAAAATCAAAAGCTTAAATACATCAAACGAATGGATAACAGCTGTCATATTCCTGACTTGGTACAGGCATTTTCTTATGTACAAAATGGTGGATTGAACCTGGTTTAATAGCTAGCTAAACCTCTCACTTGTATGACAGTCGCATCAAATCCATTATATTGACAACGATGCGTGAACAAAAAAAACAGACACAATAGGTAAAAATGTCAAAAATATGGGTACTGTAGTCAACATTGTGTTATCATCTTAATCACTATAAAAACAAACAAATGTAACAAAGAAGCACAAAAAGGCATACATCAAATTTAAAATCCTCATTTTGCTTTTTTATTATACGATTTTATTTATCTATGTAAAATCCACCCATAAAGGCGTAGAATCGTGCGTTTGACGTCACACAGGTAGATATAAAATAATTCTGTCGTTCAAAGTATGAAGGGATACATAATACAGAGTCACGTCAAATGGATATCGCAAAAAACAGACTTTACAGTAAAAGTAATATTAATAAAGACAAATAAAAGAATACTATAACATGTTATTAAGATGATAAACAACGTCAGTACGCAGAATCTATACTTCAAGACCATCGTGTATTATTTGTGAAGTTGATATATTTGAATATTTATTAAAAAGGTCTTGGTACCTTCCGATGAACTTTTTTAGAAAAAGGACCAGACGTTCTTTGACATACCCCTGGTTCATCAACTTTCTGCTCAGACACTGGTGACGTTTTACAAAGTCTGAGTAGGGGCTGCAAGCTCTTGAATACCGAATAAGTTGGGAAATGTATATCCCATATGCAGGTGAAGTTGGTATATTGCTACTAAGGTGGGGGAAATTGATAATTTCAAACTTAAAATCGTCTCGTTTGTCATAGATTCTGGTACTGAGATGACTTTGTATGTCAAATTCGAGGTATAAGTCTAAAAATGAGGCGGAAGAAGCCGTGTCTGTTGTTTTTTTAAATTTCTAGTTCTGGGGGATATATTTATGAAACCCAATCAGAAAAGTTCGGATTGATAATGGAAAGAACATCATCAATATATCTGAAAGTGAAATTAAATAACCTGGCCTCTTTGATCTTCTTGTTTCTGACAAGTGTCTGAAGGAACTACGATTCATATGAAAATACGAAGAGGTCGGCAAGGAGAGGTGCACAGTTCGTTCCCATAGGAATGTCGACTATTTGTTGAAAAAGTCTACCTCCAAATTCAACAAATATGTTGTCAATAAGAAACTCCAGCATACTGATCACTTGTTCCTCTGTGTAGCATGTTTTACCCTTTTGTTCAATATCGATGTAGAACCTTGAAATCATACACTGATAGAACAAATATTATGATATACAGTTTAACTTTCAAAGAAGATCTTTACAAACTGACCGTATCTACCTTAAAAAAAATGCATTAACTAAAGCAATGAACCATGATTGACATGATGTTATGGTTATGTTTCCCCTGTCAAATTGACAACATGACTAAATAAATATCTAAAAAGCAAAAACAAAAAGAAGGAGGAAAAATCATGATATATTGAATTTAATTGTTTGCCTGATCTGATTTCAATAAATCATTCCATCCCCTTCCAAAATAATGTTGAGCAAAAAAATCAAGTCCTCCTTTGCCTACATTTTCCAGTGCAGATATTAGTCTGATAGTTGTTGGCTTTGTAGGGCATGATTGTTTCCATTTCTTTAGGATATCATAATTCCTTGTATACATCTTATTTGCTACACTAGCATTTTCAACGGAAATTGCTATTATATCATTGACTTTCAATTCCAATTCAACTCCCAGTTCAATGTAACAGTCCCCTATTTCATGAGATAAATCCTTCAGAATTGTTTGCAATGGCACATTTGTAAGTTTTGCAAGGCGTTCGCCACTGATTCCTGAAATTAACACAAAACAGAATTACTTAATAATCAAGCAACAACAGTAACATGGGATAAAAATTATTCAATAGTATGATAAAAAGCTCAAATGCAGGATATAGAAAGTCATTAACAACTAAAATACTGTATAGCTTTTGACAACTCCTTAAAAAAGTTGTTGAGCGCTGATTATCCATTTTATAAAAATCATGCTCATGAGATAAACCTTCTATAAAACTCTATACACATCCTACAGGTCATGGAGGCGTGAGAGTTATACAACGCAATTTCCAACTTATCTAACTTTGTAAGGTGACATAATTCCCGTAAAATAGTTGATTGGTACTGATTTTCTAAATGGTATAAAACCTTTACACATTTGATAAACCGTTGATATATATTTTTCATAAAATTGACATTTTGAAGGAATATAACTCATTAGAAAATAGATCGGCACTGATTGTTAAACTCATCCTAGATATTGCTAATATAAATTTAAAACTTTAGTAAACATTTTATAACTTTTTTCCAGAATTATACGTTTGAGAGTGCTGATATGACATAATAGGTTATATTACAGATCAGACGACTTTATTATTATCTAAAGTTTTTTTACATCGTGAAAACATCTAACTAGTGAGTTGAGGCACAGAAATATCGTATTCGTCAACGAAATCGTGAACGCTGACCGTAAAACGTATATAGTGTCCATCTCTCACATAAATATGTTAGAGCACTGTTTTTGTAGGGAGCAAACCCCTGTTTTAAAAGCAACAAAATAGTTCTTTTTCTAATCTAATTTAGTTAATAGTTTTGCGCAATTATTAATATTTAAATATAAATATATCGGATATGACAAAACACACAATTAACAGCGCATGGAGATGATTCATAGCATGACCGGTTTTGATCCTTCACGGACCTTCTTCAGAGGCAGAATTAATGTTTAAGATTTGAAGCCTTTTATAAGAATTTGTTATTACAACAACGTCATAAAACAAAACTAGTAGACGCCAGACATTTGAACTGTATGGACTCCTCTTTAGAAGGAAAGAAGAGCTTGATATATCATATATTTGTATAATTGCAAATAATGTTTAAATGTCCTTATTTTTTCGCTTTGTTATATTGTAGCGGGATATGCCATTAAACGTTTCCAGAGGTTGGAAATAAATTTCCCCCGTCAAATATGAGGCGACAAATAAGGAAACATGCTATCAACAACAATCTTTCGAGTTTTTCTCTAACATCATAAGCACGCTAAAATATGCGGGTTTTTTTAAATAGAAAAATTAAATTACGAGAAAGTTTTAAGATTACCCAAACATTTAGGTTTGAAAATTAACATATTACGAAAATTCAAATGATGAAATGAAGCAATACATCTGACGTGTAATCTTTTATTATTTTTTACATTTTTATAGAGATGATGGAATATTTCAACAAACTACAAAATTACCAATTTCAAATCTACTTTTGTTCTTAAATACCAACATATTTACGTATGTTGTATTTTATATTTTTCAAAGAACTTAAGTAGAACTACAACGTATCTTAAAGTGACAAAATGAAAATTCAATGTGAAACTGTATCAACCCTTTTTACATTTTTTTTAATTAAGCATCAATAAGCCATAATCTTTGGCAGCATTAATATCAAGCTAACCAGCAACAGATCCGAAAAGAAAGAAAATCAAACATTTAATTCTTCAAAAGTACTCACGCAATAAATCTGACTTCTGTCTTATAGCCTACAATTGAGAAATAAAATTCAGTAGCATAAGCTTTTAATTATGCATAAAGAAAATGATACATAAAAAATGATAACAATTTTCTTACAATATTCCTTGTAATATTACCAGTATGTAATTACTTGATTAAAACAGTTTAATCTCTTCAGTGGTGAGACACCCCACCAAGAAACAACAAACATAAAATGACCATCTTGAAAAAAAACACCTAAAAAGCAAATTAAAATAAAGACAAAAAAAAAAGCACTTAACAAACAAAGAAAAATTAACTCCGCGAGAAAAATCAAAATACAACACACTCACATGGCACAGAATATGCTGTCGTTGCCAATTCATATCTGATCTAATTAAACCTTGCAGTAAATCTGTAAATGTCGGATACACTGTGTTTGATTTCCAATAATGTAAAATCATGAAGATTATATGAACAGGATCTGGTTTATACAAGAATATATGATTTTGAATTATTCTTTCTGAAACTCCTATATGTGATGCAAAAGATAAAAAATCATCAATTCCCATATTTTGAGCAAAATGCAGAAGTTGTTTGTCTGTTGGTTCCCTCTTCAATTCTTCTTCTGTCAAACCTATTGAGACAAATAGTTATGTAACTTCCAAACGATATAAAAGCAAAATTGGTGTTCAAAGTAAACTAAATGTTATGAATATGTTTAACGTGTTTAAATGATAACAAATAACTAACATAAAATGATCTTGATTGAACTTCAAGTCTATGACAATCGTTGAGGCTTATTGACTGACTGACTCATTCTTCCACTACCTCTATCAACATAACTAAGTAGATTCAAATCACATTCTCATCCACTAAATTGCAAACATACTGGAAATGTGGTTTAGCAAACGCAGCGATATTTACTATTGAATACAACAATAATTTAAACTTGTTGTCACCATTTTTACTTCCAAATCAGTAGGATATAAGTTTGTTTTTTTTTTGAAAAAGGTCTTTGAATCTTCATTCATAATTACGTTCTATAGATTTACATTTTTGAAGAGCGTCCAACGGTCAGGAAATCTTATCAGTAATTAACTTTAGTTATATATTTATGTTTCATTGTCCGGTGTTCAATATGGTATTCATATTAGATTTGTTAAAGGTCTCCGTTTTATGTTTCAGTTTTTCTAAACCTAAAATGATTGCGAGATTGACATTGTTCAAACACTTATCTATCGTTGAACAATGTATGATGTCATATATTGTCTAGTTGTTCCATGTGCTGTTTGAACACTGTTTCATGGAAGTATACAAGACATCTACTTTAATCTACATATATATTATCAAATATTATGTTAAATATACTGTACTTACCAGGGCAAGTTTCAGAGCAACCAAAATTTCTCTAAAATTAATAAAAGATATTATCATGTTACAATAGAAACAATCAAACGTTTTGGTTGGATATTGTTAACATTTTCTATGTATTTAATTAATAAAACAAAAGGTAAGAGTTCATATCTTACACCATAAACTATTCTCACGAAGATGTTAATAGCGAAAAGATCTTGTAATTCATTTGGTTTGTTTGTTTCTTAGGAAACATTGTTTTAACCATAGCCTTAGTAAAGTCTGAATCACTCACCTCATTTATTTTGATACTTTAATTCCACTTTTTGTGATCACAAATGTTTTCTTGTGAGATTTTTTTTTCAAATACAAGTATATAGCCCTCCAAGTGTGTTCAAGGGAAATAGTTAAGACGGTAAAATTTCGTTTTCTTCTAGTACCCTCCTCATCTGCCTCCTGATCTGTCTGATAATTATCGCAATATTAATATCCAATAAAATATAGAATTTGGGTCATGCTACTTGAAAGGATACTTGTAGATTTTTGAAGTTTCCGCCATTCTACTTTTGTCAGTATGATAAACAAAAAAAATATTTGGGCAAACATTCTCAATTAAAGGGAGTAATTCTTCCAAAGAGTCAATTGGAGTTAATTGGAGTTCGGTATATTTGTTATTTTACTTTTTGCCTGTTTGTACATCTATTGTTCTGCTCAATTTGCTATACGGTTACTATCTGATTCACTTATAGATACATATGTCAGGCTTTCAGGAAGTTTTTATTACAACTTGCTGCACTAACTTCTCCATAAGAATTTATTTTAAAACGTAAAGAAGGAGTATGATACAAGCATTCTTTTTTACTTATTATAAGCAATAACCATAATAGTGAATATCTTCAAGCCTTTAGAAATTATCCAAATTATATTGATAAACGAAGAAGAGTCATTTCCACTATATAGATAATTTCCTTTCACTAAATAATCTAAATAATTCAAAGTTTATGTTGAACGCATCTACATGTATCCCATCGAACTTGCATTGAAATAAAGAATACAGATACAGTAAAGTCTGCCTTATATCTTGATTTATATCTTAAAATTTACTATGAGGGTCGGTTGAAATCCATTCTTTACAACATATGGGAAGATTTCAGCTTCCCAATTGAGACCTTTACGTTTTTATGTAGCAAAATTCCAGCAGCGCCTACATACTGTGTATGTATATTGTATCTTCCAGTTGATACGATTTTCCAGAGCTTGCATTTTCTATCATGACTTTCTTGATATATGGCCATGGGTGGCTGCTTACAAGGAAGCTACTCAACCAAGGGTTAAACGGGGTGAAATTAATGTAATCCCTTTGAAAATTTCGAGGACGCCATCACAACTTGTTTGATCGTTATGGCATATCTGTTTTACGGATGACGATGGATATGTTCCAATTGTCGGAACGACAATCCCGTCCTCATTCGTCGTATTTGAAATAACAAAACTATACTTAACACCAAGTTTGTACTCACTTTAACAACACGAGGGTGCCAAATATGGAGCAGTATCTGCTTACCCTTTCGGAAAACCTGAGATCGCCCCGGTTTGTGGTGGGGTTTCTGTTGCTTAGTCTTTATTTTTCTCTGTTGTGCTTTGTATATTGTTGTTTGTCTGTTGATCTGGCGTTGCCATGGCGTTGTCAATTTTCATCGACTTAATAGTTTGAACTTCCTTTTGGTGTCTGCTGCATCTCATTTTTATACACTTTAGGAGAGGCATACTACTTGTGTGATGTAACTTTTATGTCATACATATATCCAAATTGTACATAAATATGTACCACTTAGATAAACTAGATACTAGTCAAGGGCTAACCAACATATATGTTTTACCCACGTCAACAAAATTGAATAAGATAGCTTGTACCAGAAACTGCTAAGACCTTGTCTCATGTCTAAATACTAATGACAAGATGTAAAAAAAAGTCGAAGCTCTTATGGAAATATAAAAGACAAATTCAAATATACAACCTCTGACATATTACAGACTAATTTAAAATAAACATCTACAGGATATAATTTGTTAGATTTATAATTCCTTTAGAATTTTGAATTCAAGTGGCTATTCATGCTTTATCCTTGTGTGGGATACTTTTTCTTAATGATGACATTTTCGTATTCGTTTTAAGTAGGTATTAAAAATCTCAAACACTTCATTCATTTTATCTGTTATTAAATTCAAATACCTTATAACATCAAGTGAACAAAATTATATTTCTTATTTCTATTAGAAATTACCTCATCAAAGATCCAACTTAGGGGAAGTCTTGTTTCATGGTGCTTCTGTTTTTGATACTCACAAGTCCACTTGCTTCTCTTTATAGCTTCTTCTACATCTATAACGCACAGTTTATCCTGGCAAACAAAACCAATTTGTTTTGAAAATAATTTTGATTTGTCCAGATTTGATTTTTTACAACTTTCGAAGGTGTTGTAATAAAAAAACACAATTTTGTATAACGCAGATGTAAGACACTCTTGAATACTGGCTGTAATATCTCTAGGAATCACACGCTGATTAACTAGGTACAAGATAATTGTGTTACCCTCAACACGAATAAGAAGTTCATTATGTTTATCAATATAAAGGACAGCCGAATTATAGAACAAAAGAGATTTTCCACCTTTTTCGCAGACAGGCCATATATTAACTGCAGCTCCAATAAAGTGAAATGCAAGTGCTGGAGGAACCACTGGCAATGCAAGTTTATATGCCAAACATATTCTTTCTTCTACATTCCAGTTTCTGATATATTCGTCAAAATAATGAGGATCTGTCGCTGTAACCATGCATGGAACATAAAAAGAAAAATCTAAGTCTGATTGATTATCTCGTACTGGTTTAATTATAATGTCTAGGTGTACTAACAGCTGTATAACAAAGTCTTTGAACTCAATTGATGGCAGGTCTTTCTCGTACTTTTCATCTGACCAAATTTTAAGTAGATCAGACTTCCTCAATTTTCCACTTCTTTTTAATCTTTTTAGTATACATTTATGCGCTTCTAGCCAAAACATTTCATCTGTTATAAAAGATCTTAGAATATTGACCAGAGTTGTTGGCTGTACAATGACAAATTGATTCAGTCCTGGGTCATCGAAATACAAAATCTTTCCTGTTCTGTGTTGATGCTTTAGCAATCCTGTAAGTTGAGATTCAGTTAGTGCCAAATCGTTGTTACCTTTATTTATATCTTCTATTTGTGCCGTTTTGATTATGGTAGCCCTCTTACTTCTCATATCATCTAGCTGTAATAAAAGTGGAACCCATGCCATTGGTATTCGTTCTTTCCATGTTGGTTGTGTCATGGCCAAATTAACCAATCTGTCTTTTAATCTATCTATTTCAGGATCATTTACATCGGTTGCATTGATGAAAAAAAGATCATTGTACTGTAGGTGGTTTTTCTTGTTATGTCCTTTAAAGTGATCATCTAACTTCTTTTTAAGTTCTTCACGTCGTTGATTGACCTTCAAAAAGGGAATTATATAATGTTTACTTTTATCAAAAACCTATATCAACAATTAATTATTTATGGCACTTTCGTTTTGACATGAGATATCATTGATTTGTTCATTTTCAGTAAATTTACTGTTGATAAATTTTTGAATTTATTGAACCACTAAAGTTTGTTCTACCTCCAAGCATATGTTGCCTCCAACATTTTTGGCAAAAACTTGCGGTTTTTTCGGCTTTTTAATACTCTTCAGTTGTGTATTTGATTTGATTTTTTCTAACTGTTTTGTCTCGAGTGCCATTGATGAGTCTTATAAAGACAAAAGGCGCTACCAGTTACCAATTTTTGTATCATGCTATCTTTGATGGGTTTGTTTACATTAATCTAATAACTCAGTCGAAAATAAGAATGTTGCTATTCTGGGTCAAGAACCTGTTTGTTTTATCTTTATATTTCAATAATTTCTATCTTTTGATTGTTATGTACAAATTTTTGTTACCGTTTCTCTGAAACACACATATGGCGTACTAAATTATGAGCCTGGAAACTTTGGTGAGTTTTTCCCTACAGTAACAGCTATTTGATTGAATTTCATTATAAAATTCTAGTATCTCCACTTTGTTTATAAAGTTATTTTCTTTACAAAGTCAGCGTTATCCGAAATTGGTTTCATAAACAATTTAGAATAAATTTAGGATTTTATCATAGTGTGAATGAACGTAGTATGATTGAATTTTCGTTATTTAGGATGATAATGTTTAACATATGTATCAAATAAGCTTAACAATATCAATATTCCATGCAAATGAAATAAAGTTCAGATACAAACATGAATACATAATTATTCAATACCTAAATATAATTGAACAATACACTTTATTTGAGAAAAAATATTAAAACCACAAAAACTTAATTTTGACAAATGCACAGGTCATATAAACCTTTCAAGACAGACATGCACTCTTAAAATCATTGCATACACCAAATACGGTTGACGTTTTTCATTATATCATCCATCTGATAAATAGTCTAACTACAAATCCGTACATTGACCTATGAACCAAGAACATGAGGTCAAGGTAAGATTAAACTGACCAAATTTACCTCCTACAAGACATGTAAAGCGTGAAATTACTTACAAAACAATTTTCCATACATTTTGTTTTTCAAAGAAGAATAAAGAGTTAGTTTGCGCTGAATATTGAACTCGTCAAAACCTTGCTGATACAAACCTTTCATATCAATTTCATAAAAATACGACTTTTGATGTAAGAATTTGATGCTTACAGTGCAAATTTGTATAAATATTATTTCCAAGGGATATAACTCGTGTCTAATTAAGAGTTCAGTACCGGTTTTCAAATTTGGACAAACTTTGTCATATGAACCTTTGATGTAAATTCCATAAAAAATCATACAACATGTACAAGAAATGTAGGCTTAAGAGGGCTTGCATTTTTTTCGATATAATTTATATTTCAAAGAAATTTTACGTCACTGATCTAAAGCTTTGTTTTTTTCTGCTTTATTCATTCTTCTAATATAAATGTTAATGTGGATATGTATGAATTCCAGTACAAATAATATTCATAGAACAATGATTTACTGACTCTATCTGTAAGAATATCAAGCGAGGCCACTAGAGCGAGGCCACTAGAGCGAGCTCGTAATCTAGCTGTTTAAGTCAGTATAAAAAGATACCATATCATTTTTCTTTTTATAGACAATTTGTCTTTCCAAGATGTTTTTCGGATAGAATATGAAACTACATGAAGTAGTGGATAAAAATTCTGTTTTAGCATAGACAAATTGCGATAGTTGTTCGTTTATATGAATGACGTCGCGTGCAATGCATTGATAAATTGACGCGGATGGACATGAAAATCTTTCCGTTGCTATGTATACAGTTTGCATCTTGTTCAAAGACAAAGAGTTATAACATACTTTGACTACTTTGTCTTTGTGAGTGGCTACAAATACTATCTGTGGCATCCCATCATCAGGTTCTGAACAGTAAGTCAATATGAAGTTTACCCAGTGCTGCAGAATAGCTGTAATAATTCATTTTCATAATTATCAATTATAAACATACACAATCAAAACAAAGGTTTCTCTGAGACAAAAGTATATACACAGCATGAAATTAAAAAGGATATGTCGAAGAGGACAATAAATGAACTAGACATTTGATCTTTGGTAGATAGCTATCTCATTGGCAATTAAACCACATATCCTATGTTTATATAGTGATAATTAAGAAGCCTCCACGGCTATTATGCACGTATCTCTAATCATAACCCTGATAAATTTAATACAAATGTTTCATAAAAATAATCATTGGGTATCATAAGTCTGAAAAACGGGATTTGATGTTTGCCCAAGACATAGTTTAGACTATATCTTATATCAATTGTTTAGAGATAACAGGGTGGTGATGGAAAAAGTTAATCCCAGCTGACTAAGACCTCAACGTGATTGTTTTATATAGATACGATATTGCTTACATCTGGTTGTAACATGACTATTGTTGTATTCCTCCTTTAATTCTGTGTCCATGTCTTTACTTCCATCAAACATTAAAAGAACTATACCTCGATGTCGTATAAAGAGTTGATGGGTCATATCAAAAGCAGTTTGTCCGCCGAAATCAACAATATCTGTAGGTGCTATTTCCATTCTATATTCACCTTTCCTAATTTGTTCTAAGATTTCTTCCTGAATTTGTGATGGTAAAAATGATGTTGGATTACTGCTGATTGGAATTTTAAATTCAGTTCTTGAATTAATTTCTGCTTCACGTTCAGCGTGACTAAGAACTACTCTTGGGCTTGATTCAGTTACTTCAATATCCTCCAATGTCGAACCATTATGAGGGGGTAAATGAATAACATCAGTTTCCAGATCAGTCCAATCCATGTCTGCAGTAACTGTTGGCTTCCCACAGATCACTTTTTCATAAATATCACTATGATCATGACCTATCAATTGAAACAAAAAGATCAAACTTGTGATGTTTATATTGAAAAGGCAAACATTGTTATCTCCGAAAATAACAAGAACTCATCATATATAAAAGGCTTATAGTTTTGTACGCCAGATGAGCGTTTCTTCTACAAAACACCAATTGGTGACGCTCGAATAAAAAAGTAAAAGAAGGCCAAATAAAGAACGAATTTGAAGTGCATTCAAGAACCAAAATTCCGAAAGTTTCTGCCATATACTTAGATCTTTAGATACCACAACAGTCGTATAATTTGTAAATCTACCAATTGTATCCTATTCCCGTTTGTCACATGTTGACTGAGTGTTGATTTGCATAGTGGTTATTTCATACATATCAGGGGATACAATGTATTTACCTTGTCGACCCGACCGGTCATACTCGGTCTCGTTCTAGATGATTCATTTCTGTGATGATTATAGACTTACACAACCTGAATTTAGTAACTATGACCTTCCCCTTAGATCAACTGAACCCGAAATCATTAGGAACCTTCTTATTAAAAACTGATGTTGTGAGTTCGAATCCGGCACGTGGCAGGTGCGTTCGACTCCAATATTAATTGAATGGTGTTGTCAGTTTTCCTACCCAAGTTCGTAAGTTCTCCCTGGGCATTCCGGTTTCCTCCACCAATAAAAAGTGACCGCCTCAAATGGCACAATTACGCTAAAAGTAGCTTTCAACATCAATCAATCAATCAATCAATTAATGAAATGCTACCACATATATTAATTTAAAGTTACAGTATGCAGTATTTGGTTAAGTATCCATAAACCTCCAAGTATTTGACTTTCTGTAGTAGAAGTTGGTAGTACAATAAATGGTTCAGTATTTAGTCTTATCCAACAACAACAAAACATCATTTCGATAAACGAATAAAATCAGAGGTGTTAAAGGGAACAGCATGTGAGTAAAATTTGATTAAAGTTTAACAAAATCATACAAAGGTGTTCAGGAACCGACGCGGATACAAAATCGAGCAAGAGGAATAAAGAAACGAATAGACACCCCCATCACTATATATCACAAAAAAAACTAGTAAGATTGAAATTGATACCATTGTTAGGAAAATTAACGTTAATTAAATGCTTTAGGTTTAATTAAAGTGCTTGTAGGCATTGAGGGGCAAATATTGCTCTCATTTTGCAATATGAATTTAGAATAAAGATTTGTTTTGTATTTAGTAATGGACGATATTTAGACCATTTATAAATTGCATGACATTGGCTGAAAATGATCAAACATATGTTCACCTGACTGCACTTTGTCGTTGAAATATTCAAAAGTAGAGATAAGGTCTAGAAAATATAAATCTCAAGCCAGTAAGATTAGGTGTATAATTTCATTTCATGCAATCATTTTCCCAAAACATGTAAAAAGATTAATTGTTTTTTATTTTGATATTTTAAAAACTGGCGTTTTCAATAGTATCTATTGGAAGAATATATTGTTAATAATAGAATCAGTTGTTTCAGGAATTGTTTGTCAATGATTATTATTTATGCATTTTCAGTTTTGTAAATGTTATAAGCAAAATATCAATATGACAGCCACACAGATTCTCAATTTTTGATTTGTTTTATCAAAAGCCAATTTTGGAAAATGTATAAACTATTTTAACTGCCTATATATAAAAAGAGTATAACAAAAATACCGAACTCGAAGGTAAGTTTAAACGAGAGAAGTCTATAAAAGCTGACATAGTCAAACGTTAGACTATATCAACCAACGGAACGAATGGAAAACAACTGTAATATTCCTGACATGGTACAGCCATTTTCCAAAGATGACATACAAATAAATCTGACAAAGACGCAAAAAAAATGTTATTGTAGTTGATAGTTGATAGTTAATCTGACAAAGACGCCTGGACTAACAAAAATGTTATTGTAGTTGGTAGTGGATACAGTCTATTTTAAAACATAATGCAGTACTATAAAGTACAAATTAAGTAAAATATGAAAACAAGGGTAAACGAGATGAAAAAAACAATAATATAACACCATCTTCCGTCCAAATTGCAACTGTAGACCTAATTCCACCAGGAACGTCTAAAGCCAAAAAAACCGATAGCTGGATGCACACATACCGAGTTCTTCAAGAGTCATACGTCCAAACTCTAGTCCATGTTGTAATATTTGTGAATTAGACGCTGAATGTTTATCTAATATGTCTTTGTTCTATCCGATGAACTATTTAACAAAAAGGACGAGACCTTTTTTTTGGCAAAACCCAGGCTAATTAATTTGTTGCCACGACACTGATGACGCTTTATAAAGTATAAATAGCAGCTGCAAGCTCTTGAATATTGCATGATTTGAGAAATGTATACACCAAACGCGGGTGAAGTAAGTATATTGCTGCTATGATGAAGAAACTTATAATTTCAAAATTGAAATCATCTTGTTTGTCATTATAGACTCTGATACTGAGATGACCGCTGTAGACAAATTCAAGATATATGTATGGAAATGAGGCGGAAGTAGCTAAAACTGTGTTTTCATTATTCTCTAGTTCAGGAGGATGTATTAATGGTATCCAATCAGAAGACTTTCTTTTTTACAAATATCTCAAGGAACTCCTACTCACATGGTAATAAGTAAAGGTCGACCAGAAGTGGTGAACAGTTGGTTTCCATAGGAATGCCAACAACCGGATGGACAATTTTACCTCCAAATTCAACAAATAAATTAAGATGAGATCAAAGAAAGAAGATTCATCACATTGAAGTTTGGAAAATGAACATTTTGTCATGTTGGGTCCTTAGAAAGCTTTGTATACGGGATTGATTTGTTCACTGGTTAAGACCATACAGTTACATATAATTGCTTACATTATTTCCTGCGTTCCCTGGAAGAAGGTTGTCGAATAGGTAATCATACCCCATTTCGTATTGTTTATAATATTTGCATTTAACATTGTTAAGAATTTTGAGTTACGAAGTTAGAATTACCTCTATTTCTAGGCAAAGGTATCATCTTCTTATCTTTAATATGAATTCCATTTCGTCCAAACCATATTTCAAGTCCATTAGTTGAGTCCCATACTAGTGGTATCTTTATATCTATCAGTATACTTGCCAAACTTGTTTTGCCTACATTACAGGGACCAGCTAAGAATAAGCGATTTTCATAGGAAGTAAAATGGCCCCTGGATAATAGCTGTTGGAATTCAGAGTTTTCTACATCTAGTAGTGCAGTAACATCATTATCTAACAATATGGTAAGAAAATAAGTGTGTAGTATATCATTGTTTGATAGATGAAACACAACTTAGTTCTATAAACTAATTACATTTTGAATCTTTCAGTGCACATAATTTTCTTCTGTGTTTCGACATAAAGTAAATTATGAATTCACTGAGCAATTGATTTTGGAGATTGAATTGGCTAGTTTCGACAGATCTGCAGAGCCAGTAAATAATAACCGAAGTAATAGGTAGAGCTTATTGTAGACACTGATTGTCATATTCAGCAACCCCCAAGGGTGACTGGGGAATAGAAGTATGGTCACCATTGGTCTTCCTCCGACCTGCATTAAAACCCTTGCTAAAGTGGGGCGTCCGTGTGGCTGTGCGGGATGTACAAATTTGCAGCCACGTCCGGTCAGAATGGGGACGTTAAATCCGATGCCTCGTGTAAAGAGAGTGCCATGCTCTTTTCACGTAAAGAACCCTTGCAACAACTCTTTGAGGGGTCCGTAGGTGACCTGTTGCAAGGCTAAATTTCTGTCCCTATCCAATATTCCCTCATTTCCCGTGGCAGTTTAAATTTTGCCGACCTTAACCCTGGACACCTCATATTACAGAGCCTTCCTATTGTATTCATTGTTAATTTGTTCTCGTCCTGAATACGCCTGAAATATTTGCCACTGGACGATAAGCAACCAACAATCAATCAATCAATCAATCCTATTCAGCATGCAAAGATAATAGAGTTTTAGGTTTTATGTAGTTTTTTATTATATAATTGTAGTTTCTGAACAACTATAATATAAACATGATAAAAGTTACATCTTAATTATTAGCATATTGTTTGTAACGTATACATTTGTTTGTCTCACATGACACATAGCATAAACCAATTTTCAGCAGTGTTAATTTGTTAAATAAACTCACCAAGAACGTTGGCTTTCTGTTGTAGAGATACCTTTTTTTTAATTTTACAAAATGCCTGTTTTTCTTGGAAGTCCTGTAATGACAAAACTAGATGATGAAATGACATACTTTTTAAAGAAACGTGGAAGATTTGAAAGGATATTATTCAAACTCATACGTCAAAGACATACTGACAACACCATGGAAAACATCGCAAAACGATGAAAGAACAAAAAAGTATACAACGCTAAACATCGAAAACTAAAATTGAAGCATCACGTACCCGATCAAAAAAATCGAGGGTGAACTCAGATACTCCAGAAGGTTAAACAGATGATGCTCCAAATGTGGCCTCCGTCGTGTTGCTCATTTTCAATTGTCATAAATCCAACAAGAAAATACAAATCCAGGGAAAAACAGAGGGAATCGCTTACCTTGTAGACGCACCTGGTATTGCCTCTGTTGGAGTTCATGCAATTCCCGCAGTTTTTTTTTATCTAGATTTTTATCTTCTTGCTGGATTTTTGAAATTTGAACATATGTAAAATGCTGTTGCTACGGAATTTCTTTCAAGATCTTTCAACCCACATCATTTATTTAAGTTCCTTCTTCCTACTTTTTGGACAATACTAGTATTTAAATAATTTAATTATGATGATTTTATTGATAATTGATAATTAATTATTTTGAGTATCAAAATCTGCTTTCTGAAACAGAGTTATACCTTCAAAAGTTGCTGAAAATTGTTTAAATCAGTGTGAACAAATTAAAAAACATTAAAACGGTAAAATATCAAGAGGCAAAGGCAACAGATTTTCAAGAAAAAGCTGTTTGGTAGTAAAGTGCATAAACTGGAAAATGGTTTGATACATAATTCAATAAACTTTTCCAAAGCAAATATTCACTAAATATTTCTTCATTTGAAATAAAGACATTCCTTTGTTGCGGGAAAGTATCACACAGAAAGATCAAAGGCAAATTTAGGGGGAAAAAATGTTTCTCTTATTCAATGTTTGGATACAATAATAAAGTGTATAAATCTGTAAAATTGCAAATTTGCGTCACCTTTAGGCTTTATAATATGGTCACTTAACCAACATATATGTAATGATGATGTTAGAACATCAAATAAAGGCAACAGTAGTATACAAGTGTTCAAAAGTCATAACTCGATTGAGAGAAAACAAATCCGGGTTGCAAACTAAAACCGAGGGTAACACATCAACTATTAGAGGAAAACAAAAGAAAAACAGGAACACTGAAGTGCAACAAAAACAAACGCCAACATACATAGAAACGAACTATTTGATAACAACTGCCATATTCCTGACTTTGTACATGACATTTTAAGAAAAAAAAATGGTAGGTTGAACCTGGTTTAATGGCTAGCCAAACCTCCCGCTTTATGACAATGTTAAAATATATCGCTAAAATGACAATAATACGTGATAAAAATACAGCACAAACACACGCAAGAACATTCATCACAGAGAAACGCACAAAAAAATAATATAAAAGTCGAAACAACATGCAAACCGTGGAACAACAACAAACATAGTCCATCAACGACAGACACCACAGGATATCAGAAACAATGACGCGCTTACGTAAATTACATGCAATCTCGAACTTTATACAATTATTTTCACAATATTCGTCCAAACAGTTTTCACGACAATGATGGTTTTGAAATGCAATATTATAATTATTTGGACTACAAACGATAAGACATAACACATTATCCAACCGAAACCATAACAGAAACATCAAAATAAATACATGAATGTTAGATGTAAACAATAAAGAGACACGTCGTATAGCAATGCAAATTCACAATCATTATAACAGTCATATTCGGGTAGATGACAATGATGGTATTGAAAGGCAATTTTATAATTATTTGGACAACAAACGATAAGATATAACACATTATTCAACCGAAACCATAACAGAAACATCAAAAATAAATACATGAATGTTGGATGTACAAAATACCGAGACACGTCGTATAACAATGCAAATTCACACTCGGTATAACAGTCATATTCGGGAATAGGTCATGTTCGGTACTTAGCAGACAGACGACATAGATGTTAAAACACAATCTAACAATGTCTAAGACGTGGTAAAAATGTCATTAGTTAGTTTAGACACAGACACATCGTATAGATCAACCAATTCGTGATGGTGTCCATAAAATTTACGGAGTGATATTTTAATCTTTCCTCCTCATAACTCTGTTGAAGCAGTTTCTGCGAAAAGGCAAGAATTGCAATTACTGCAAATTTGAGTATATAATGAGAATCGTTTTGTAAATAACCATGGCATGAAAATATCAAATCTCCTTTCTTTAAATACATTTGGATGCAAACAATGAAGGAAGAACTCGACCATTGTTATTTTGTATTGATGCAAGATCTTTATAGCTTTACAACAGGTATTGCTTTTATGCAGTTTACATTGCTCAAAACCTTATGGTGTGAGGTTTTTTTTTATTGATGTCTCATTGACGTAAGTATATACAAAGGGTATTAAAAAAATTATATCAAACAATTAAAAATTAGTAGTTCTTTAAATAAAAGTGACCAAAGTGTTATGCGTCGGACAAGCACACGGACGGACGTAATCTAGTATACCTCCTTCTTTCAGAACGGTGGTCTACTAAACTTACAATGACCGACATACAGAATGGCAGATTGCAGTAATTAATATTCACCTACTTATGTCAGTTGAACAAAAAATTGAAAATAATGTGTATAAATTTTCTTTACCTTGAAAATCTGAATTATTAGAGATAACTTCTTTTTGTCTGGAATTTTAGGGCTTCCCTCCGCTACTTGGCATGGTGTTTGACCCTGGAGTAACAAAATTACTATTTGATTTCATTCAATTATATCTATAAGTAACAGAGAAAACAAAATGTATTTCCTATGAAACATTTCTGTCTCATATGTCATGTTCGCAAAATCCATGTTGTGCAAGGCGAAACCCCAATAACCAATGTGATAAAAACGTAAATATGTAGGTGCTCAACTATAAATAGTTGTCTGTCAAAAATCTCTTTCGTTCTAATGCGAAACATGAGTTTTCGGTCATTAAAAACATTGTTGTGTCCAAAGATTGGCTTTAAATGCATTATGTTAGATGTTTAACATTTTTTATTTTTCAGTGGTTGTCTAATTGCTGTTTTTGTGTAATTTGGAAAACGTTTTGTTGATGGGATGTATGTGATTGTTTCTGCTTAATTCAACAATCTCAACGTATTATTAAAATGAAAAGTTTACATATTTAGAGCGCAAGACTATGTTTATTGTTTTGTTTTAGTTTTGGTTGTTTTCTCATCCTCATCAACGTATACCAACTTCTCTTTTTATAGTCCTACCAAGGGGAAATTTAACTTTTAAGTGATAAAAGAACAACAACTAATGTGGAATTTGAACAAGTATGTAAAACATAATTAAGTAAATGAAGCGTTGAATATAGCTCAGTGACTGGTTTCTGTTGAGTGCTGCTATTACCCTCGAATTGTATTGCTCAACTGGAACGAAACTACAAGTTCATTTGTTAATTCGCATGTTATGGCTTTATACTAAATATTTAATCAACTTTATATAGGCAATTCCTAAATATGTTTACGAAAACTTATATTTTCACGCAAGTGCGTATTTTCATGGGTTACAATTTCAGCAAAAATCTATTTACTGCAAAGCACTTTGAAGTTTACGTGTAACTTCTTATGATTTGACTATATGCAATAACTATCTTTGACAGACGGAGGACTAACAGATTGTCGTAAGTAGTGGACTAATAATACGTACAATTGATACAAACATATAAGAATAAATTCACAATTATACTCTTGAAATTACCATCTCTGTGGTGCAGTGTTAAGACTTACTTCGACAATAGTAATTCAAAATTGACCCCAAAGCAAACTTTAATCTCTTTTAATGGTCAATTAAAACCAATTAATATATCAAATCTTATCGTTAAATTAAATGCTAAACGCAATCTTATTATTTGTGGAATAGGATATTGGTGATAGATCTTAGATAGTAGCTGAGTCTGTTCAATCTATTAACAACATTTTTAGACAGGGCGATTAAGCGCTTGACATATTGTATAGACAGTTGTAAAGTGTTGAAGATCGTATGTTGACATCTAGATGTCTTTCGGTGTCTTTAGGTGTGCAGTATCATGATAAAGTGTTTGATTAATCTGTCGTTTGATATAACGCACGATCAATTGTAACTCTAATTCATAAAGCATTATGGACTAATATTTCTGAAAAATTCCTACCGTCAATTGATGTTTGTGTATCATGTATCGTTACTGAAGAAAACATCTATCCTTTACATGACACCTTAGCTTACCAAACATTCTAAATGTTTAAAATATTGCTGTCGTGACTGGTGAGATATCTTACTACAAGACAAAAAGTACTGGAATCTTTTTATCTAAAGGATTTTAAGGTGATATTCAAATTGTGTCTCTTATTAAATTTGTTTGCAGAAAGACCACGTTATTTCTTTGAAACGTCACTGGACATGAATCCAATCTTTCAAGACATCACACTACAATAGAAACATCAGCGGAAAAAGAAGAAAATTTGATGTCATTATTGAATTTTGATCAATGAAATTACAAAAAATGTAAGATATAAGACCAATAGACTTTGATACAACGCATTCAATATGAACAAAATCTGTATAATGAAACAACGAATCGGATAAGAATTAGAGAAAATCCTTCAACATACATTTTTCATCTGTGCACTTGCATTGATATCAGCTCCCTTTTCGTCAACTAAATATTCCATTATAGATTTGTGTTCCATAGTCGATGCCCTGTATAATGCTGTTCTTCCCTGAAAATTAAAATTGAATATTTACATATGAATGAAAAGAGATATAGGGTAAACGTTAAGGACAAATCAACAAAACGACGAACGCAACCAAAAGATATCCAGAGTGCAACATATTTTTTTCAACAATAGGCAGGTGTCAACTCTATATATGCCCAGATTTTAGTCGACCAGGGTGTATGGCATCCAAAGAAACGAAACTAAATACGTTCTGCCATGAATGCAAAATTCTCAATATAAAACAAAATACAAAGATTTTACATAAGAGCATAAGTAAAAACATGGTGTTAACTTTTACGTAATTCAATAATTGTGTTATTCAGGAAGAAAATATAGTGTGATAACCTTTTTTTGTTCAGTAGCAGCTTTCAGTTGCTTAGTTTTGAAGTTTGTTCATCTTCTATATCTTATTTTCAGTTGAAGTTGTAGGTATGAAAATATTTGTATTTGTTATCTTCCTTTTTTGTATTTCAGTAAGATATTTACCTCAAAACAATTTAGGTGCCGTTGGTTCCACTGTCAGCAAGTGCACACCCAAAAATATTTTCATAGAAAATTCAGTATTTGGTTGGTTCTTACGTCAAAATATTTCTTTTGTAGAATGCTACTGTCAAAATGTGTTGTATATATCAACAAGATCAGTGCATTGTTACCGGCTTTCTCTCTTATGCACAAAGATGTTAAAATAACATTGTTTAGAGTTGACAACGAGAATTTTCTGTTGTTGACAGTAGACCAAATAGGTATATTTTTTACTAAATGTACCATGTGTGTCATTTTCTGGGATTACATGGATAGATGTGAGGGTATCCACGTGCATTTCTGCTGAAAATATGGATAGAAGCAGCGTTTTCTGTTAAGCATTTTTTCTGAAAGTCCACAATTTTAATGGTGTTATATCCAAATATTCACATTTTTAATGAGTATTTGAATTTGAATGTAGAGTTAATAATACAGGCATTTTTAAGTGCACATTGATAACAGTAAAGTGTTTTTAAAAGTCATTAATGTTAGGGGAAGGTGGTCTTATGGATAAATAGACTGTAGATAATATCTGTCAAAAATAAGAAGTAAAATAACAAAACTACCGAATTCCAATGAAAATTTAAAACGGATAGTCCTTTATCAAATGGCAATGGTTTTATAGCTAGTTAAACCTCTCACTGGTATGACAGTTGCATAGAATTCCATTATATTGACAACAATGTGAGCAAACAAACAGATATAATAGGTACAAATGTCAAAAAAACTTTATCATTATAAAAACAAATAATTATTTCAACAAAGAAAAAAAGGCAAATAGACACTCTATAGACAAAGTACCTAAGCACAAATTAATTAAAGACAAGGAAACAAATAAGACTATAGCACAATAACGCAATGGTGGGATGTATAATACCAAGCCACGCAAAAACTATATAACCAAAAATGGACTAACAGTAAAGCTTAAAAACATACAAAGACAAATACAAAGTAATTAAGATGATAAACACATAAATAAAAGAGAAAATCCTATCTAAAACCGGATAACGAAATCTAACAAAAACTGTTATGTAACAAGTATTTAGTCAATGGAAGCATTCAAACAATCCAAGACAGAAATACGTAAATGTAAACAAAAAAATGGTATGTAACATTTGATGCAACCGGATGGGTTCGTAATTTTTTTAAACTGATTGAAGTTGCAATACAACTAAGCAAGAATATAATAGTTGTATTGCTTAACATACCCATCATTAACTCAAAATAAAGGAAACCAGGAAGTAAGTGTCTGACAGATTCCAAAAGCGACCATACTTTATAACTCATAATTGTCAAGTTACTGACAATTATGAAATAATTTTCACTGTCAAGCGACCGTCAAAAGGTGAAGTCTTTTTGTTAGGTAGTACCTGAGAAAAGTGTGACAAAATATTTGACGAACTGATGAAAGAATGAATGACAGTCACACAATGCTATTGCAATATAACTACTTTTAAAGTTCATAAGATTTGAATGTAAAAAGACTTTTTGATTTGAACTGACCATAAGCTGTGGAGAGGGAACAAGCAAAAAGAAAAGGAAAAGGTTGTCAAATTGAACACAGGAACAGACAGAAAGACAAATATCAGATGTGAACATGTTATATACAATCTACCATACACTGCATCTTAGAAATTAGATGCATTGTTGTCTTCTGCCAACGTTTACGCAGGACAAGAAGAAACTTAACAATCAAACAATTGATTATGTTCTCAGTGTGGCTAGTACAAAGATTAGCAATTAAGACTGCAGGACAAACAGGTTTAGGTTTTTTAAGGCCGAAGTTTCAACTCGCAGCAAACTGCACATTTCATTTAAAAAAGACACCACATCATATTTCAAATATTTTTATTTGAAATAAGATGACAATTGTTAATCTTTGTATTATTAACCATTTGTAATCTAAGTTCTTTGACTTGTATGAATCTGCACATCATAATACAATACGAGCTAACATTCTACTAAGTTCAAGTTAAATTTATACTCACATCAAAATCCCTTTCCTCAATAGCTACTCCGTTGTTAATTAAACATTTCACTACTGGCACGTTAGAATATTCAAATTATTTTTTTCTTTATCAACAACAGCTTGTATTGCTGAATAAATCATACAAATTCTACAATCTAGATTAAAAAGGATATGTGGGGTACATGTCAACATTGTATTGTAGGAGATAATAAGTCCTTGTAAAAATTCAACAAATTTATTGTTCAAAGAAAGTCCATATGCCAATGTTTACTAGAAAAAGTACTTGTGCTTAAAAAAAACATTTAAATGTAAACAATGGAATGTTTCACTATTCTAATGTTTTAATGTTTTTGGTAAGTTAATTTTTCATCTAAATCAATACGAAGGGTTGTCTAAAAATGAATTTTTGATGGGACTTCTTTACCTAGCAGAATCAATAACACTAACTTTTATAAATAAGAAACCTGAGATTATCTTTACAATTTCAACATTTTCACAAGAATTTAAATTGAAATTTAAAAATTGTCCCAAATATGAATGAGGTTATTTGCCACCAAATGTTTGGCATGCAAAATTCAACCAATCAAGTTCGAAAAAAATATAAAGAGGATTTTGAAAGAAACTATATCGTCAAGGGAATTATTTTACAAAACAAATTGATAACATAGAGTTTTATTACTGGGAAAACTGATTTTTAAAACAGAAAACTGTTCCTAGTCTTTTGCTTCTGGTAGGGGACAAGGCCCCAGACTTTGCTTACCATGTAAACTAGTCCATGTTCCATGGTTTGCCATGAAATAAAGGGTCTGAACAATTGTCAAATATAAATTATTGCCAGGCTATATTTTCTAGTCAGTATATGAATATGGCCTTCCATTCCAGGAAACAAATTCAGGGGACACATTTTACTAATGGACGGATATACTCTTATAAAATTTGTTAAATTCGGACTCAAAATGTGACTTTTGAGAGGCTATTTTAAAAAATAAAAACGAAAACCCAAAAAATACGTATGAATTTATGAAGAACGGAAAATTGAAAACATAAAACTTTTTTCATATACGAAAGTTAAAAAACAACTTTAAAACAAATATTTTGAAACGGACTAAACAAAAACACTTATTTAAAGAAAATTTAATTTCAGTGTGGGAAAAGAAGATTATCACGACGTATCGTAGACTTATAAATAAAGTTAAAGTTGACCTACCCTCAGACCGATGTTGTTATACCCTTGAATGCATATTTACCTCAACCGATAAAATTGTAGGTTAACTACTGTCGGAAAAATTAAATCAAAATAAACCTTTATATAAGTAAAAGAAGTGTAAAATGTATCTCGGAGTGACATTATTTTCACAAAATTATTCTATACTCCCCTAAACACATCTTAATATTCAACAAGATGACAGTAGGTAACTCACTATGAAAATGAGGAGATGCAGTATGATTACAATGAGACAAACGTTCCATAAGAATTAAAATGAAGTTGTAGTTAGAAGATCAGCCATACGAAATCTTTCATAAAGCCAATGTTAGTAAATAAATTTTTTGGTCAATACTACACATTTTCATGGATAACTGGTATACTAATTGGGTAGACTATTACACAAAGATTGTAAGTCACTTTGATAGTATCTTAGCTAGATCTTGAGAATATAATTTAATATAAAGCCAATGAGGTATAAAGTACAGGAATTTTCTACAAATACTTAATGTATCCAAAGTTTTCAGTGCATAAAACAGCTAGAACAGAATTAATGTAATTTGTTGAAAAACCAAACTTTTGGTACCATAACATTATAAATTGTTATCTTTTTTTCTCCTATGCTTTCTATGTTCTGCCTTACGGATATTCTGTAAAAATGCAACTATGAATTCAAATCTTTTTTTTCTACTGGTCAGGTATTTTTACTTACGAATTTGTAGTTTTTTATATTAATGTCTGCCCCTTGACTAATAAAATACTGCACAATTGACAAATGACCACCAAGTGAAGCCCTCAAAAGTCCTGTGCATCCCTGTAAATAATTCAGATTTAAAATGACAAAATCATGGTGTTTTTGGACTTTTTGCATCTTCATATTTTAAATCAAGACCTATAATTAATTAAATATTATAGCATGCTCTTTTACCAAAGACATTTAAAAATGACATAAAATTTTTCTTGCTTTTAAGAAAGAACTAAGAATCTCTGATTCAACAGCTATTTTATTTTTTAACCTTTTCTTAACAATACTTTGTTTGCTTTCATCATTAGATGATGTTTCAACTCTCATATCATTTCTGGGAATGCAGAATCACGTAATTTCAGGAATCATTGAGGAATCTATTGATATCAATGATTAGATAGCTTCCCATGTTCACATTTAAAACATATTTTGAGGTCACAATTCTGTTATCAACAATGGATTACAAGCACATACATATAGGCTCAAACTCTATAAAGTCATATAAGTAGGAACAAACTGGTTTCTCTAAATTTTGTTCCATACTCGTAAGTTTTCCTTGAATAAACCTTAACTTTGTCATGAATGTGACGTCCATATCTATAGTTAATCCATAAACTAAAAAACAATACCCCCGTTTAACGAAGTAATTCGGGAGAAGGGGGGGGGGGGGTCTATACATCCATCAAGACCAATTTTGTCTAAACCATTTAAGCTTTAGCAGATTCCTCATGACATAATGCCAGGGTGCACATCATTTCAGACCTTTTGTTCAGAAAGATTTCTGGTGTTTCCTCAACCAAAACCTGAATTGCCATTTCTTTTTATAGCGAGGATTATCGCAATCCGCAATCCCTCATAAACGAGTGCATGAATCATATCATATTTGACGTATTCTTCGTGACATAATACCATTGAGCATCTTTCTCCCTTTTCCATAAGAATTTCTGTGGTTCCATTAAAAATAGCATTTCCCTTTCATATTATACGGTATAAACAATCCCCATCCGCAACTAATCTAAAATTCGTGAATAGATTTCAATTAAAACTCTCACTGTTTTGTCATAATATAATGTCATTGTACACCTTCTATATGAAATTTTGATCAGAATAATTTCTAAGGTTTTCAATACGAAAACGTGGACTCTTTATTTAGATTTTAATCAAATTTTGACGGATTCTTCATGAATTGACATAGTACATTTCCTGTTATATTTTTTTTTATCAGAATGATTTTTTGGCTCCCATAAAAATATAATATATTCAAGCGTATGAGCATTATATATCCGCAATTTATACGAAACCAGTGAATTGATTTCAATAATACTCTCACTGGTTCGTCATGCCTTGATAATAAACACAAATCACTTACGCTCGAATCAAAAAAGAGGAAAAGGCTAATTAATGTACGAAGTTGAAGAGATTTGAGGACCCAAAATTCTGAAAGGATTTGCTAAAAACAGCTAAGAAATCTATTCCTTCGTTTTTGAAAAATTCAAAGATTTTTTTAACTGTTAATCTATATATATGACCATATCAATGATAACTCAAGTCATTGCAAATGTGGTGACTACTGGGTTAGTGATGTCAATGTACACCTCCTGTTTGACGTTTTTATCAGATTGATTTCTTGGGTTTTCCATACCAAAAAATAGACCTTACCTTTTTCATTTCATGGATTTCAATCAAACTTTAACTGATTCTACATTACATAACGTGCATCTTTTATTTAGTTTTTGGATTCAGAAAAAGATTTTGTGGTCAGATACAAACACATGAATTGAAACCTTTTATTTTATTGAGGTAAACATTCCAAATTCGAAAATCTTTGCCATTGTTCACCTTCATTTTTACTATTTGAATTAAAATGTTTTCTGGTTTTTCTATATATAAGAAAATTTACTCTTTTATATTTTAGGGTTGAAACCCCCGTCCGTATTTCCTTTTAAACAAGTTAATTCTCACTTTATACCATTTTTCATAGAAGTATTGAAAGGGTTTGAATAAAAAACATGTTCTTAATCGTCTTAGTGATTTCAAGTGGGTATAGGGATCGATCAGAGTGTCATTTCTCAAGCTCTACTTACAGTGCATTCTGTGTTATATGTTTCCCCAAATATATCATTTTTTCTGCTGATGTTTTAATATGAGACAGCAGTCATAAACTTCTTTAAATCACTAGAGACCAAATGACGTAGATTGATTCAACTGAAGGTCAGCATACGGCCTTGTTAATAGTTTTCATTTAGAATGAATACGTAAGTTGAGAACCTTTAAAGTTATCTTTCTCTTTCTTTTTCTATTATTATTTACATTTCATCTGTGTTACTTTTTTAATTAACGGAAAATGCTTTCGTTTTATCGTTTGTGTTTATAATGGAAATAACTAATATAGTTTGGTTCTATGCATAAGGTTTACAAGTTTAAAATTTCAATAGTTAGCAAGATCTAACACACTAAAATATTTTGTTTGCTACAATACTTTTACTTTTCAAAAGCAACTGCAATTAAAATCATAATAAAATGGCTACTGTTAGCTATATAATTGTACATGTGCGCGTACATGAAATAAATACTTACGAACTTATCTTGTCGATTAATGTTTCCTCCGTGGCATAATAAATATTTAACAACCTTTAGATGACCCGTTATTGACGCAAGAATCAGTGGAGTTTGCTCCTGAAATACAATAATTAAATACAATTTACACTAGTTATACTAATAGTAATGCAGCTTTATAGAAAAAATCATTGAACTATCACAAGTAGTTCCTATCAAACTTACCTAAGCAGAAAACCTAAAATTGATAATTGCTTATTGAACGAAAGTCGCTGGACCATGACCTAGAGGGCAGGGCCTCGAAGTTGTCGTAACACTGATATATACTGATAGTAAGGCAACTTTATAGAAAATATCATTGATCTATTACACGTAGTTTCCATCAAACGAACTTAAGCAGAAGACTTAGCATTGTTGACGCCGCGAACGACGCCGCAGCTGCCGTCAAAGACGTCGCTGCCACCGTCGGAAAAGCAACACCTTTCATTGGAAAAAACACGATCTCAACCGGACATAATACCTACCTTGGTACTGCTGACCATATTTCTTTTTCATGTTTTATAGTTGTAATTTCTACCTATCTTTTATTCTTTTCATGGAAAAAGGCCAAAAAAAAATAAAAGGTTAAGTGACATCCAAAGTGTTACTCGTAAGAATATTTATGATTCAAATATAGTTATTATTTTGCATATAATAGCTAATCGGTAAATGTCACTTTTCTAACCAACGTACTGTTGGTTAGAAAAGAGACATTTACCGATTAGCTATTATATGCAAAATAATAACTATATTTGAATCATAAATATTCTTACGAGTAACACTTTGGATGTCACTTAACCTTTTATTTTTTTTTTTGGCCTTTTTCCATGAAAAGAATAAAAGATAGGTAGAAATTATGAAATTATGGGCATTCATAAACAGGCCTTCAATAGGTGAATAATGGACAAAAGCTCTCTCCAAACGATATTCACTCTAAAATCAACAAAGCCTGAACGGTTTGGAATATAATTTTAATAGGAGACCTATATAAATGAATAGAGAACATTAAAAAAGAAAAAAAACTCTTCTAATGATTTAGCATGATTTAGGTAGAATACAAACATATCACTTAGTATCTGAACTAAAATTAGTAATTTGAAACATTTTTGCAAATACAGGTCAAATTATGTAATTCTAAATTATAATTCCAGCATATTTTTTCAACGATTTAATAATATCTAAATAATCAAAATACAGTACAACAAGAATAAATATACATTTACAAAATAAACTATACCCTTCTGTCAGCGGCCTCCACTTTTGCTTCATGATTTATCAAAAACTGGACCGCAGGCAAATGCCCCTCGTTTGCAGCACAGTGAAGGGGTCCTTGTCCCTGGGAAATGAGAATATACAATGTTGGCTAAAAATGTTTTTTAAAGAGGGGTGTATTGTTCCCCTAAAAGTTGAATTTGGAATACATGAAACTTCTTTTTATGCTGTTTTAAGTGATAAATATTTCAGAGATGGTATTTATAATGCGTTCAACATGTTAGACACTATTGTGTGTATTATTCAATTACAATCTAAGTCAATATATTTATTTGCAGTTGAAATAGACTTAAGATAAGTATGTCTTGTCATTGAAATGTTAAGCCAATATAACAATACATTATATGAAAAGATCATGCATCTTACCAAAACTATCAAAACATAATCGAGGAACGGTCCATGTTTTAACTCCGCTCCCCCGCTAGACACTTTGGTTTTTTACTACAACATCAATTATGTATTATTACCTTTACAATATGCCATTTATCAATATCTTATCAACGTGCCACTCGTGTTGAGATCGAGTAAAGCAACTCGTCAGTAAAAATCCAAATCAATTAGAAACCTCAGGAGCATTTAAAACCAGACATTTCAAAGAGGTGCTTCTATTAATCTTTTCAAGTCAAGCTGTGCCAAGGGGTACAAAAAAAAACCCAAAAGAAACTATTGCTCTGCGTTTGAAAATTCAAATGCATTTACTGCAACATTTTTATTATAAACATACGTCATGACGAAAATGTGTCCCAACATTTGTTTTAGACAAAACGTTAAGAACATAATACATGTATATAAAGGGGAGATAATTTGTAAACACTTCTTGGATTACCTATAAAGATGTGGAGGACTAACAATGACAAGACAATTAGGACAAGATTGGCATATTTCATCTCAGAGACAGTTGAAGTTAGAGTAGGCTAGAATAAAAAAAAAAGAATATTATGTGATTAAAGTTAAAAAAAAATGCACAAATATGGTATTATTTATGTAATTCCCAGAAGATAAATATGTTGTGTTCATTAAGTGCACGAAAACAATTTACTGTGTACAATTTAGAAAATATATCAATGAAATAATTTAATTATGCAAGCAGAAACCATTTATAAGTATACTTAGAATACGTACATTATATTGATTAAAATTATAGTGTATTTTAAAATATCATCTAACTACCTGTTGGCAGATACATTTAGAAAATAAACTGAGCTAGATTTCAGGTTTAAAAGTGTGAACAACAGACGCGTGGTTTGTCTACAAAAGACTCACAGTGACGCTCGAATAAAACAAGTTAAAAAGATTTAATAAAATACGGAATACAATGGCATTGAGGACCCGAAATTCCGAAAGGTTCTGCCAATACAGCCAAAGTAATCCATTTCTTGGGTAGAACATCCTTAGTATTTCGCAAAATTTAAAGATTTGTAAACAGTTAATTTATAAGTATGAGCATGTTGATCTTATTTATAATTTTTCTGTCCCCTCACCTCAATCTTTATGGTACTTACAAAATCGTTTTCATTCCTGTAGTTAACTGATTCACCATTTAGTATAAGCTGTGTCCAATTTGCAAAGAGTGCATCATCCTTTATGGAGAAAAGATAAATTTATGACATAGAGTTTTGTTACAAACATTATAGAAATGTCTTTCCTCTTTTTTGTCTGTCTCAGTTACACAAATGTACACACTTATGTATTGAATCCAAATTACAATGTTACCATTTTTTTAATGCAAATCTCTGCGTATTATGAGGACATTGTAGAATAGTATTGACTTTGGATTAGTTGTGTTGTGTTATTCAATTTTGATTAAAACAAGATTAGAAGAATCAAAAGAAAAAACATTCATTCTAATATGACGTGCTTCTTTCGCTTTGTAAACAACACCGTGATAAAATTCCCGATATATCTATACTTAGCGCAGACTCAGAGATGTGCATATTGGTGACTGTTGCTATTTACCTCCCACGTAAATCCACATGTATCGTAACCTATGTGCAAACACTATGTCGATTTCGTTGTGTCCAAATTGAAATGGAAAAAGAACCGTTTTTCCTATTATATTGCATAACAAAAATAGTTAATGCACAAGATCTTAAAAAATGTATAAAATCAAAATAAAATAAAGTTCCGCCAAATTTCATGAGTGATCTTGGCGCATTAACGTCTTGTCATAACATGACGTCATACGAATGAAAACTCTAAAGCTGAATGTTTTCCGTTACGTATACGCACTAAGTTCGGATAATATTGCATTTAAATGGAGTTCTGAGCTAGGTGTTGTTTCATTTTCTTTTCCATTGCATTATTCGCACATTTGTAGATTTCAGCAAGTCAACATGGCGGCTTACTCCTTAGTTACGACATGTCAACTCTGGATTTGACAGTAAATAGTAGCCAACGAAAAATAAATGTTTGGGTTAAGAATTATGATAATTGAACATATTTTTTGTACTGCTTATTTGAGAAATAATTCATATAAGAATTAGATTTATATGAAATTTGTAGCTTTTATCTTACAGGGGGTAGAATAGAACAGCCATACACACAGCAATCTTACGGTCGCTTCAGTTGTCAAATTACCGTATTTGTCCTATTAGAATCGAAATAATACATGAAAGCCATAGATTTTTTGGACATTTACACATGGCCTGGGCCGTGATATTCGTTAATTTTATCCCTCGCTAAAGCTCAGCATAAAATTCGAATATCACGGACCAGGCCATGTGTAAATGTCCAACAAATCTATGGCTTCCATGAATTATTTCTTATTTCAATTAATGATAAGGACAATAATTTCTGTTTATTACCGGCATTGCTCGAAATGTGGTTTTCTTCACAACAAAAACGGATCTGATTGAAATTTGCTATGTTTCTATTAGATAATTTTAATACATGTTTATTATCAATTATATTTTATTACTGCATCGGTATCGAGTGTGATGCTATATTTCTCCACTGAAGACATACATGTATACATCTTAAACGTGAAGATTTCCGAGTGTTTAAATGTTGTAAAATTTCAATTATTGAGAGGGAAGTAAAAATCGGATTACTCGAGATTGAGTGGTGGAATCTTTCTTTTCCAATAATCTGTGCAATGATGTGACGTCATGATCGCCCTTTTTTGTGACGTCAAAATAGCAATGATAAATTGAGATCAAACGATCAAATTAAAAAAAAACATAATCAATTGGTCGTGGAAGTATAAACTGACTATGAACATGATGAATTAGAGAATACTAAATAACATCAAAACTATATTATAATCAAATTAACGTTACACGAATGTAATATGATTATATATTAAGATAAAGTTAGCATGATTGATTACATGGTATATAATCTGTAATGATAAAGAGGACAGTAGATTTCTGAAATACTAAATTACCCATATAATTTTTTTTAAAACACGACAAAGAAAAAAGTATGTAAAAAGAAAGATGTAAAATCTGAGTTAAAGATATCCTTTCTGGCCAGACAAAATATATATCTATTTAGGATTTCGTCGTTTAGAAAAACAGGTATGTATTTTTTCTCATACTGTTTTACTTTGGGGACCACTGCAATTTAGTCATCATTACTAGCAAAAGTGCCAATTGATTCTTAGGGTAGACATTTTGATGCATTTTAATGCATACATAAATAAGTTCTGTAGGAACGGAAACCATAAACACAAGTATTTTTTATTATTTTCTTACTTCACATTATACACCCAATTTTGAGACTTGATGTTTACATTACATTACATGCTCGATTTATAAGATTTGATCATTGGTAATATAGTGTTGCTTATAAACTCATAAGATAGTTTCCAACAAATCACACGGAGCCATGTTACCTCACAATAAGTATTAAACTATTATATTCTAATCACTAAAATCTTGAAATTAGGAAATGATTTCTAGAAAAAAATTTGTAAAATAGCCAAAAAACGTAAATAGCAATTTATGACGGCTTTTTCAGATATTTGTGAATTAGTAGTCAAACCAATACTAAGCATAGTAAAACATAACTTCTTTAGTCAAATCTATTACATAATTACATCAATATCTGGCTGGTTTTTCAATTAAGATTAAAAAACTAGTTTCTCTGAAAACATACTTACACATGATGTATTTGCTTGTGTCAATTCTTTTAGGCCGGTTTTAACAGCTTTATACAATTCCTATAAAACGATAACTATGATATACTAGTCAACTTTGTATTTATAGAGACTGTAATTGAAGATAATGAATTAAAACACCTAAAGCTAGTTCAACCCCCTTTAGTCCAATATAATTCAAATGGAGTATGTAGTAACACAAATAACACACGCCAACTTGTCAATTACTACTATTAATATATATGCACATTTGAAGACGATAACGACGAGTTATTTGAAAATGTGGATGTCTTTGTATAAACACTGACTAAACATTTCGCATCAAACAACTTTAATTTTATCATTAAATAACCTAGCTAGCTCATAGAACCGAAACGTAGATGTAGTTAAATCAAAATAAAGTTATTTTAGAACTAATTTGTTGACCCTCATCTATTTAACATGTTCTAAAAGAAAAAAAAGGTCAACAATATTTATTTCACGTAATGATAATTAAGTGGAAACCTACCATTTGTGTATTCGTCATACACTTCAAACGGTTATAATGACAGTTTCAATTGAAATTAGATAAACCGCGACAGAAATGATTAACTTATAACCTTAGATGAAATCAAATGTTATAATACGCAGTATGCTTTTAAATATTGTGTATTTATCAAGAAATATACATATATAGAAAAATCAATAATACTATAAAAAGGTTTTACAATACATTATATCGAAATTCATTTACAATAATCAAGTTAAATGTACACCGAATGAAGTAAAACTGATAACAAAATACACGACCAATAAGTCACGTTATATCCGCTGTTTAAGGCAAACCACAATAAGAAATCCTTTTTGATAAAAATGAATAATTATCTGGAAAGCTTGGCAAATGACATTGTGATTTTAAGGTCAGAACTTTACTCGTCTTCCTATTCAAAAAACAAACTGCCAGTTGTAATAAGCTAAATAATTCTTGCAGGAAAGTCAAATACTTGCTACTCACAAAAATAAATACCCCATTTAAGGATACACTTTTTTTGTTTCTCTAAGCGATAATGTAGTTTATGAAGACTTGAAGCATCAAAGAAAATTTTTGAATTTGATTTTTTGATTTTTTTGTGTTTTAACGCCACTTTTAAACACCGCTTTTGGGTTATTTCATGGCGGCCAGTTTTTATTGGTGGAGGAAGCCGGAGTGCCCGGAGAAAACCACCGACCTTCGATAGGAAAACTGACAATCCTAGTCAATTAAGATTGGAGTCGAGTGCATCCGCACGAGCGGGGTTCGAACCCATAACCTCAGTGTTGACTGTCTAGTGATTACAGTAGTAACTACTTAGACCACTTGGCCACCGAGGCCTGTAAGAAGGTTTTTGAAATTAACTAAAAACTCTATAGCCAGAGTTTCTCATTAAAAATATTTAAAAATAGACTTTGTATTACAAGAATATCGAAAGAAAATTACATCATTTAACCCAACATAATTTAAGTTACTTAGGGTTTTCATTTGTATTCAAAAGATTTTGTCCAGCTCTTATTTGTCACAATCTAGACAATAATCGAATGAATTATGCACAGTCTACAACAGAAACTGCCAAAAACATAATCAAAACTATTTAAAAGATAAAGACTCTTCAAATAGGTAAAGAGGATAAACCCATCACTATAATATGTATAATACGCGTTACAAGAGATATGATCTGCATATGTATGGAACAAGAAAAAAGTAAAATGATAAAAATACCGAACTCCAAGGAAAATTCAAAACGGCAAAATCAAAAGCTCCAACACATCAAACGAATGGAAAAAGTTAGTTTTTGGAAATCAAATTGTCTATGTATGTTTAAAATCTACTGAAGATATTCCAATCCAATACAACTTTCATTTTATCGAAGCACAATAGATGTCGCGGAGCTGAAACTAAAACATAATACCAGCACGATGAATCTTTTTTGTTATTTTTTTTACCTTGACTCAGAAAGTTAAATCAACGTTGTAAGGCATGTTAAATTATAATTAAAGTATTTAAGAAACCTATCATATAGCTTTGTATTCCTCGTACACTTAAGACCTTTCAAATGTAACATGTGTAATACCAAGTAACGTGACTGAAATAACTTTTTATCAAAAAAAAAATTTAATCTTTTTCAAAACAATACACAATACGCTTTAATAAGCATAGTGTCATGTAACGTGTGAGATCATGCACGCATTTAGTAAGTCGAACAGTATAAAACAGTAATAACTGTGCTTACCACTTTTAACAACATTTCAATTTGTCAAAACCTTATAAACATCCAGCTAACCACAACCTCAAACTGTAGAAAAAAACTAAAGGCAATTATAAGACATGTTTCTACTCATGTGACGTCCATTATTAAAAGCATATTTTATAAAAGAACATATAATTTTTTCAATCGAAGACGATCGACAAGCTGGATTTATTCGCATTGCAAGTGACACATCCATATCAGGAGACACTCATCATGTAGACGCAAAGAATAAATAATTTATCTCTCTCATGCAAAGGTCCGATTCTTTGTTCGGATTTGACTATACTTTAAGTATTTTGGTTTTCTTTCAGCTCTGCAACCTTTTGTATTAGGTTACGGATTTTTAAATGTTTTGGCCTTGGGCATAACTGAAAAAACATTAGTTTTCGTAATGCGCATCTGGTGTAGTAAAATTGGTACCGTTAATGCTATAACATGGATTGCCACCTTCAGCATTAAAATCTTTTGATGTTGAACAAAATCATTATTACCAAAAAGTATTGTCATTGTTATGACACTATGGCAGGTATTGAACAAGCATATTACTGGAATTTAATACGTCAGAAAAAAGGGTGAACAATACTTGTTATACTTTTTCAAAGAATATTCACAGATCCTGACTGCCAGCACAAAGTTTTTGCTGACTGGCGTCATATGTGGTTCAAATAATAGGGTTTCTATTCTCAAAAACGCATTAAAAATTATGAAGGACATAAAAAATTGGAAGTCAAAGAAAAGATAAACAATGAAAATAAATCAGTCAAAAACAGAACCCTATTAAAATCCAGGAATGATCTCTTTGATGCAGATGGGTTAACAGAACCAGCTTCACTAGTGGTACCCATCGTGTTATTCATATAACATAGTGTCACAGTCGAGACAAAGAGCTATGACAAATAGAAAAATATCCACAGCGTTCTGTGAAATAGATATTCCATATCAGTCAACTAGACCACGTTAAACATTTGAAGGGTTGACTTAAACTTTAATCAGCAACTCTCCATAAAGTAAATCAAAATAGGAAACGCCAGCTCTGGAATATCGTATTTCTATTAGATTGATACTACATTTGCAGGCGCTGTTAAAATATTAATAGATCATAACTGAAAAGAAAGATCAAATCATCTCTGCTGTCTGAAGGTTTAGGTCTCAACCGACCCTTATTGTCATTTTCACTACATGAAGCAGGCTTGACTGTAAAAATCATTTACGTCATACAATTAGTGTTGGTAACAATTATTGGCTGAAACACACCAAGTCACATTTTTAGTGTTGGTATTAATTGCTTGCTAAATAACACCAAGTCACACATTTAGTATTGGTATTAATTGTTTGCTAAATATCACCAAGTCACACATTTAGTATTGGTATTAATTGCTTGCTAAATAACACCAAGTCACACATTTAGTATTGGTATTAATTGCTTGCTAAATGACACCAAGTCACACATTTAGTATTGGTATTAATTGCTTGCTAAATAACACCAAGTCACACATTTAGTATTGGTATTAATTGCTTGCTAAATAACACCAAGTCACACATTTAGTATTGGTATTAATTGCTTGCTTAATAACACAATGTCACACATTTAGTGTTGGTATTAATGTGTTTGCTAAATAACACCATGTAACACATTTATTTTTATATCAACCATTTGCTAAATAACACTATGTCACACATTTAGTGTTGGTATTAATTGTTGGCTCAATAACACCATGTCACACATTTAGTATTGATATTAATTGCTTGCTAAATAACACCATGTCACACATTTAGTGTTGGTATTATTGTGTTTGCTAAATAACACCATGTAACACATTTATTATTATATCAACCATTTGCTACATAACACTATGTCACACATTTAGTGTTGGTATTAATTGTTGGCTCAATAACACCATGTCACACATTTAGTGTTGGTATTAATTGTTCGCTTAATGTCACCATGTCACACATTTAGTGTTGGTATTAATGTGTTTGCTAAATAACACCATGTAACACATTTATTATTATATCAACCATTTGCTAAATAACACTATGTCACACATTTAGTGTTGGTATTAATTGTTGGCTCAATAACACCATGTCACGAATATAGTGCTGGTATGTATTACTCGCTTAATCATTGTCTTTGAATTTAATCAGTCTAATTTCTTTCTTTTTCCTTTTTATTCATCCAAAATATATTTTTGTTTCACTTTTACTCATTATATTCCGAAATATATAAATGAAATAAAATAGATGAAGTTATAATAAAGTTAAACAAGTGATATCTATTACCCCACATTGAAAATATATATTACAGAAATATTTAGTTTTCAAAATATTCCAAACACAATATACCTGCCAGCAGATTACTCCGAAGTGTTGATTTGTGGACCTAGGGGTTTGGGATTAACATGCTGTCCCACATGTTACTCAGTGCCCAGCTGTATTACAATATAACCTTGCACACTTGAACCTTGAAAACCGATACTACCAGAGCAGGTTTAAGGGTTGAAGAGCATAGAAGATACCTTTACATGAGAGTAATAACAACACAAATAACGTTTCAAACAAACAATTGCAAGGTAAAGGCGCGATTGAAAAACAATTTGACAGTTTTATTTGTTCCGAGAAGCAAACATTTGATTTGTAGGACATATCGACTATGGAATTTTAAGGATTGTAAATTTTAGTGAAACAATGAGAGAACTCTGATTTTGTCTAAAGTGGACTTCCAGCGGTGGATATTTGAACAAGCAACAAAAGAATCGTCTTGTATTTTGTACACCAATCTACAACCTGTGTACCACAAAATAAAGTATTCAAATGTTTTAATGGCAATATGGTAGAGAAAGGTATAGGCATGAACAATCTTTTTGCCGATAAAGTAAACGGCCAATCAATACGTGTGTTCCTAGCCATTATGCAGCTGCAATTACAAAAAAAAAAGTAAAACAAACCAATGAAGAAATTATATGGCCATACGTCGCAACGTAGTAGTCAATAATATGATATTTTTACATGGAAGTGTTCAATGTTAAAGGTTATACGAATGGCATCAAAGGTAAACGACGTTGCACAAATAAACTACTTTTAGAATTATCGAGTATAAGGGCACACAAATTGGGATATTCTAAGAAACATTGGTTTGAATAAATTGAGAACACGCGATACTTTAACTAAGTACCAACTTTATTTTCATCAAATAAACCTCTTAACTTATAAGGAGAGTAATTGCAAGAAATGTTTTTGATGTCCTCTTTACTTTGACAAATTTGTTTGAACTAATTAGTTCAAGGATGGGTTTATACTGAAGTATATTGGATCCTGTTTTACAGAAATACGCATGACACAAAACAAGAAATATGGTACGGAAGTAGAACTCAAGCCGATCTTATCCATGTAACACCGTGTAGAGTTTTGATGTGTACAATGAGTTATAGTTCATCATTGAGATAATTCATAATTGTGTTGATGTATTATGTCATTTTTTATTAATAGAAATAGTCATACTTATAATCCTTTCAATTTTTAGCGAACATAAAAATTATATCGATTGATAACACGTCTACATAGGACATATAATACATATACATGCAATACTTAATGGTTTTATATTAAAAATAGCACACGTAAAACCCTGAAATAATATTATAAATATATCCATCTAATCTAATATTAGCACGATGGACGTTTTTTTTTTATCCACATATGTAGATGGATGACAAAGGCGTGTTATTGGGAAATTTTGGTTTCTATTTTTAAATACTGACTGAGAATTCCAGATCACAGAACTACCACTTCATTAAAACATTGCCTTATTAGTTCAAAGAACAGAATCTAAGAATAAATACTAAAATAACAATAAAAGTATTAAATGAGTTAATGTGCACAACCTAGTTGACTTTAAATGTAAACATGTCAATAGATTAATTGCACTTATACTAATTACTAGTAAGTGGTAACCTAGTTCCCTTTGTGTATTCTTCTGACATCCGAGACCCTTTATATGACCGTTTAAACGTTTTATAGAAATACATTTGGAACAATCAAGTTTAATTAAAACAGATTCAGTAAAAAAATAAAAAAACAAAAACAAAAAACACGACCAAAGTATATTATTTGACAGGCGTTTTCATTATTCACGTTGTATCCACCGTTTAAGGCAAACTAAATTTGGATTATTTTCATTTCAAGTCCCATGGACCCAAATCTTCTTTTTATTTTAGAAAACATTTTATAAGAGCTATCGTCTCATATTTTATCTTAAAATACTATCGTTTAGCTTTCTTTAAACAAACGTTATTGGGCTTTTCAAATATATTCTGACAATTTTCCACCACCAGTAGAAAAAATCTAGGTGACCAATACTTTTTATTAAAATTTTGAAATTTTCTTTTATAAAAACTCCATTTTAGCAAATTATCGAAAAATTCTTTCGATTTTAATTAAGACCCCTGATCTACCTAAACGACATACGAAAGACAACTTTCAATCCACTTCATTTGAGATTGGGTGGATAGTTGTCTCATTGGCAATTATACTACATTTCCTTATTTTTATTTTGAAAGCTTGAACGGTACTTTCGTTTCTTTTCGGAAAACACAATGCCAATATATAAAAAACCGGTTAAAAGCTAAAAACTTTGAGACAAAAAGTCCAATAGCTGTTGCTGGAATAATATATTTACCCCCTTGTGTAGCTTATCTTGATATGGGTTAAATATCATTTAAGGTACACCTCCTTTATTTGTAGAAATGTTGAGGATTATGAAGACTACAAGGTTCAACTAAAGTTCTATATATCAAGAACGTTGATCAAACAAAATGAATAAGGATTTTTCCATCAAAATCAACTTTCATTTTATCGTAGCCCAACTGTAGTCGAAAATTAAAAACTTGAATCTAATATTAGCACGATGGACGTTTTTTTTTTAATTGTTATTTTGTGAAAATAATTTATATGCGTTACATGTCAAAAAGAAAATAAACACAACATTGAAAGACTTGTGAAAATTTAAAGTGTTAAAACTTACCATTTAGCGATGTATTCGTCCTACACTTATGATCTTTTAATTGTCATACAAGGTCGCGTAATGTAACTACAATGGATATCTAAAAAAAGAATATGATTTGATTTTAAATAATACACAATACGCTTAAAAAAGAACAGTGTCATGTTAAATGTGTAATCATATACACATGATACACATTAAGTAAGTCGAACAATTTATAAAAAGAATTGTTAACAAACAATGAAATTGTCAATCAATGGGTTAATCATATCTGGATAATGTATAACATGTTTTAGAATGAAAGATTCGACGTTTATGAGCAACATTCTGATCTATAGGAAAATAGGTGAAGCAAATGCAGATAGAAACATAATTTTTAAAGCAATAATGGTTACAAAATCAAAAATATCTGTTTAAATCGGAACCAATACTGATTAAAAGGGATCTCTATACAAGTAGAAGTTTTTTAAAAGACGTCTGTTATAATTTCTCGATATCTGTCTGTTATATTGTTTATCAAATTGCATTAAAAGCTTTTAACAGTAATGTTTCACAAATATTAACATTTACAGCATATGCATGATGTTAATAAAAACAAATGAAAAAAGGTTTTTTTGTGCGGTGACCTATAGTTGTTAACTTCTGTGTCTCTTGTGGAGAGTTTTCTCATTGGCGATCATACCACATCTTCATATTTTTATATCGTAATAAAAAAAGTATAACAAAAATACGGACCTCCTAGGCAAATTCAAAAATTGGAAGTCCATAAAGACTACTAAAATCAAACGCTATCAATCATCGGAACAAGTAAAAAGCAATTGTCATATTCCTGACTTGGAACAGGCATTTTATGAAGAAAATGGAGGTTAAACTTCCCACTCGTATGACAGTTGTTTATAATTCCGTCATATTGACAAAATTGGGTCAGCAACCCAAACAGACAGTTAATGTGACAATAGTTGCGATCCAGCAGCTAAAAATGTGTAAACATACATCACAAACATACAACACAGCTAGCCAAAAAAAAATCGAACAAACTTACAAATAATTCTAACAAAAACACCAACAGAAAAAGAAAGCGAAATTGACAATGACGTCAAGAAAAAAGTGTTGTAATCGTTTATAGAACATAACGTTTATAGTATACACTTCGTGTCCCAATCGCACATCAGGACCTATCTCCACCAGGAATGCTCAAAGTCAAAATTCAAAAACCCGGAGGCGTGATGCATAAACACGTCACGTCAAAGGTCAACAAAACAAACAACGGGGAAACTAATATAAAAAAAATGATTAAGAACTTTAGCACCTAGAATCTATAACTCAACACCATCTTGTATTATTTGTGAATTAGACACTGAATATTTATCTACTAGGTCTTCGTACTTTCCGATGAACTTTTGAGAAAAAGGACAAGATGTTTTTTGACAAAACCCATGCTCAGTATTTTTTTTTATCATACACCGATTACTTTTTACAAAGTCTGAGTAGCAGCTACAAGCTCTTGAATATCGTATGAGTTAAAAAATTATACTCCATATGTGGGTAAAGTTAGTATATTGCTTCTAAGGAAAGGTTAATTTAAAATTCAAATCGTCTCGTTTGTCATAGAGTCTTGTACTGAGATGACCGCTGTTGTCAAATTCAAGGTAAATGTCTAGAAATAATGTTGTATATAGATATAAGAAGATGTGGTATGAGTGCCAATGAGACAACTCTCCATCCAAGTAAAAATTTATAAAAGTAAACCATTATAGGTCACAGTACGGTCTTCAACACGTAGCCTTGGCTCTATGTTTGGTTTCTTTAATCTCTAGTTCATAAGGATATATTAATGGGACTCAATCAGAAAAGTTTGGATTGTTAAAAAATAACATCATCAATATACCTGAATGTGAAAATAAATATTCTAGCTTCTTTGAAATTCTAGTTTTTACAAGTGTAAAGAAACTCCTCATTATAGGTTTTGAAGAAAGTTTCTTAACTGAACATGCTCTTGGTTAACTGCAATACCAAAGATGCTTTTACACTGTGTACGTCTGTAAAACTTTTCGAGATAGAGGCAAAGTTTTAGTTTAATCTCAGGATTAAAAACGCTTATTTCGCAAGTAGTCAGTGGATAAGAAGTGGCATGGTAAATATCATACTATCTTTAATTTTTTATTTCATAAAAAAGTAATTTGTTTTACAACAAAAGTAGCCACTATCTCCGGCTAGTTGACCTCAAAGATTTGAGTCGTTCTTATAACGCCCTTTTAAGTTTAAGCTTTTACACGTTTCATATTGGTGACATTACACACTCACGGCTCGAGCGTGCCTCATAAAAGATATTCACACGTGGTGTGAACACGAAAATCATATAATACGCTTCCCAAAGTGCATGAGTCCTTGAAAATAGTTATAGAAGCTGCAAATCTTTAGGTATATATGAAAACATTTAGTAAAGGTTTTGATTAATTTGTGGTGACGAAATTCCTGACTTATTAATTTTCCAGTTATACATAAACTACGTTCATTGGGATCCAAAACGCGACTACAGACAAGGGCTTACTGAAACAGATTGTGAAAAAAAAAAACATTTTAGGGGCCAAAGGAAAATCACCGTCCAAAAAGCGAAAATCAACAATTGGGGGCGAAAAATCCTCTCTTTTGTCGAAACTCTTGTATATAGTTTCCCGTGTAAAACTAAAATATACAAATCTGAGAAAGGACAACTATTGGTGCCTGTATTAGATGTACCTAACGTAAGTTCACGTAGGTAAATTTCTGCGCAAAAAATTAGAAGATTCTTGATTATTTAAAGCAAAAATATCACCAAAATAACTGTAATTTTTTTTCAATTTATCAATTAAATGTAGTTATGTGTTTGTCATACGGATACAGATTTTCTATTGTTGCTATGCATGCATTTTTTTTTGGCCGCGCAAAAGTTTATTTTTGCTTTTGTGCACATATTTTTCCTGCATTTCTTGTTGCAGAAGATTCATTTTCATCATGTCTTGGGCCATTATATTTATATATTTATTTCAACACCCCCCCTTGCCAGACCGCAAAAAAAAAAAATCCAATGGTTTACATCTTTCCGAATGTCAGTTTATTGTAGAAACAAATGCTGTGTTTTGATTCTGGCCTTTTTTTCTTGAATTATAACGCTTCATATTATAGCTAGAACAATCGTAATTCACATATCTAATTATGATACATGTGCATGTACATTTTTTTACCTTAATGATTATTTTATTTCAAAACATATTAGAACTTGTTTACATCAATTAATTAAAAAAGTGCATGATAAAAACAATTTATTCACGTGATATACACTATGATATGTTTTTGTGTAACATGATATAGTTTGTTACATTAAAATTGCCGGATCGGATAATACCATAAAAGTTAAAAAATTTCCGCATTCATGTAAGAATATTAAATTCTCAAATATATATTTTAATTAATGGTGCAATGTTTGAAATAAAAGAAAAATAAGCCAATTGAAATAGATAACATGTTAATTTCATTAAAAAAATGACATTTGAAAACGTCAGGCAGTTGTCAATATTATCTACTTCTGATGACATAAATCATATTAGGTTTCAGTTATTTCGCAATTATCCGAATATTTGTTGATACTTCTTCTACCACTAGTGCATGTAGTGTAATATAAAATGTTTTTCTAAAACATGCAGGACACTAAAGAAGAAATTAAGTTTTACTTCATCTCCAATGTTGCACACATAATTTACGTACTCAAATATTTATACATCTATGGCTTTCAAAAGAGTAGTGCCGTCTAGAAACCCTAGGGAAATGTGTTTTTGAGCAATTGTAACCTCTTTTGTCAATGTTTTTCAAAAGTTATACTGTCCAAGAATGGTTGTTTTAATTGTCGCTACAATTATACGATAAGAAATGAGTGGCATTACAACCAAAAATAATGTAGGTTTAAAGCTCTGATTCCTTGTCCTGATTTGTATATACTTTAGTGCCTTTTCGATTTGTTCAGCTCTTCAACGTTTGTGTAAGGTTTTGGATTTTCGAAAATTTTCGCCTCAAGCATCACTGAAGATACATTAATTGTCAAAATGCGTATTTGGTTCAATCTTGGTACTAATGATTCGTTTTGCATTTTTGAAAATACCTTCATCAAGAACGTTAATGTATAAAAATTTGAAAGCCAGTGATGTATTAATACGGAGAAGCATTAAGAGCCATCCGATCAACAGGAATATTAAAAAATAACGACATACTGTATGTAGCATTGTTTTTAAAATGATCTGTTGTTAGGCATGTCATTTTGTTCCAATTGCCAAGTACTTTCGTTTTGTAGGCTGTCAAGTTAAATGCAGATCAGCAATTTAAAAAAAGGGAGGCAACCCTTTACTCATAATGCTAGTTTGTGCTAAAGTAGACTAAATATAAAATCACTAAGCCCAATATAAGAATACTGACAAAATATATTTCGAAAATCTGTTAATTTCCCCCCTTAAAAATGAAGAAATATATCAAAATAGATTTGAACTAAGTCTTCAATCATTAACCAGACGTGTTTGTGATAAAATTCACTACACCCAATAATCAAAATGTTTACAATATCCGTTCATGCTAAATTTAGTTTTTTACCGTAAATAATATCTAAGATTTATATGCATTACAGTAGCGAAACGCGGAGTTTTCAAAGTAGGGATAAGAAAACTAAGAGAAGTAATAAAACCAGTACAATGCAATATAACACAATTATTCTACTGAATAGAGGCATGGTGAAAACACTTCCACCCACCAAACAAAATACATTAAAAAAAAAAACAAAAAAAACACGTACAAACTTATTCCGCTCCTGTACTATATCCCATTGACAATAAAGTTTGATTTGCATGGAATATATAGTAAACAGCGAAATAAATAATCTATAAGCTTTAATATGATCATTTTGAAAAAATTTATAAGAAACATGGGTATAAGATATCTCTTCCAGAGTTCCGTAGATATACATTGCTAATTGTAATGTCTAGATAGTAATACGTATTTTACATTTTTTTATTGAAAGGAAGCTATCATAGTGTTTTATTACTGTGTGACCAAGT